TTTAGTTACCAGCATATGAGGAAGTAAATGTAGCAAATATTTAGTGGCTAGCAAGCAGCATAGCTCTACGGGGTCCATTAACTGTGTCTGCCACATCTCTCCTGTGAACACCTAAAATGTTAGACAGTTCATAATATGTTGTTTAATAAAGTTGTAGTTTAATTAAACATTTTCTCTGATGTTTTTTGTTTCAGAATTTCTTTATTGTTTTCATTGGTGACTTAAGGGAACTGAAACGCAGTTACAAATTTACATTCTTGCAAAAAGAGATGCCTAAGAGCTATATTTATAATAAATTCTCATTGTTCCCATTATTTAAAAATGTTCTGTATTTGTATGATCCTGAGAAGAGAGAGAGAAGTGCTGTTACTTTCTTAAAGAATCTTTGCGGAAAATGTCTTTAATGTTGTGTTTAAAAAATTCCCTCATATTTCAGAAAATGTCCCTGTACCTGTATTTTCTTCATGCTTACTGTTGCCATGGTCTCAGTATTGTGGTCATACTTCTATAAGGCATTCCCCTGTATTTATAACTTGTACCTAAAAATAGTGATTATCCTCTGATCACACTAATTTGATATGGACATTCTTGTGTTTTTTTGAGTTGCTGAAAAAGAGATGTCTGGAGTTCAAATTTAATCATCCATAGAATTTGTGCATAAGAGTTACCTAGTTTTATTGCTATTTCTAGTCAATGAGCTATGTTTCCTCTTCCACAGGATTTTGGGCATAGTCACAGTGACTCTTAAGACTTGAAGGCATATCACTGTAGGAGAGGTGGGCTAGGGAAACAGCACATTTTTAAAAGTTTTAAGGAATACTGGCTCCGTGTATGTATTCTCTAATGCTGGATTCATCTTTTGAAATTGCTTCTATATTATGTTGTTCTTTAAGTGAAATAGGTGCTCCACAACCTTGTTTCAAGCTCTAGTTTAATCATCTGGCTCATTTCTACTGAAAAGTTTAAAAATATTTAATAATCTGAAAGACTATAGTAATATTTTCATGTTCATGCCTGTAGCAATGGCTTCTTTCACTTCCAAATCCCTTTGAGTATGAGGTTTTTTGTAAAAGAAATGACAGTCAGGGACATTTGCATGATCATGTTACTTTTAAAGTTTACATAGCAGCAGGGAGAAGATGCAAAGTAGGAAAGTACTATTATATTTGAAGCTGATATGTCAATGAAATGGAGTAACCTGCAACAGTTGTAAACACCTTTCATCCAAAGTCTTTGTAATGAACACATTTTCTATTTATAATTTTAAAACTTCAAGGATCCTCAATTCTATTTCCCTGTTCTTCATATATTTTACTGTAGTTTTACTGAGGCAACAAACTGTCTCATTTCATTTTCTCATCTTTAAGAGAAGCTCCTTCAAGGAGGCCCTGTTTCTTTCTTTTTTTTTTTTTTTTTTGTTTTTTTTTTTTTGTATAAGACTTTTCCACTAGCACATGTGATTTTCTGAAGTTGTTTGCTTGATCTGCTTGTAAATATAAGAGACATCTTACAGGTAGTTCTCTTTTCTGCTTGTATCTTAATACAAAATTTACTGCTCTCATTTTTTACTTTGTATTTACCATAATGCATAAATTTCTAACATATTTAAAAGAGAATAAAACAGGTCTTATTAGTAGTGAAAAGAACATGTACACCTAGGCATTTAGGAAATGTCACATTGCTATGTTCCCTACTGCTTCTTCCAGGAAGAAAGTCCATACAGAAATTTCTGTTAGTACAACTCTGGTGCTGCCTTTCCCCATTACTCGCTATAGCAGTTATGCTAGCAGAAATATAAAGTGTGCGTGTGGCTAGGATAAAGGAAAATGCTTCTAAGGAAAAAGTAATTATGACAGAAAATTCACTTGCAGAACTTCCATCTAGGTACCTCCCTTAGGTGTCTCATATTTTTAAGCTTTTTTGTTTTCACAGGCTATTTATCTAACCATAAGTAACCATTCTGAGTTGCTTATAAGCCAATTTTGACTCATACATTTCAGAAAGCAAACAGGATCATTCTTCTGTAAGAAGTATAATTGATCATCCAGAAACAAATATAATAGGTTTGGAAGTAATTTTTTGTGTTTCCAATTTTTCTTAATGAAGATTAATTATTTTATTTTAGTCAGTTCAAAGTAAGCATATTTAATGATGATGATCAGATTAGTATTACTGGAATTTTTTAATTACAAAACAACATTAAATCTGGAGAAGCATCTCAGAGCTGCTTTTTCTTCCCCAGTATATAAATCAATATTATTTAACAACATATGGGTATATTGTTCTTGCTGATATTAGTTCAATCCTTTAAAGTTTTTCCCACGCTGTATTCATATCTATATCCATACAAAACTGTCTTATGTTTGTTTGTTCTCAAAAATAAACTGACAAACAACCCTCCCTCCATCTAACAAATCTTAAAAATTCCTCTGATGATTCAGAGCTTTATCTACAGAGGAACTAATTTTATCTAAATATATCTATGTAAGCATTAGTGTCCCATAGTCCTCCAAACTCCTCAGGGAGTCAATGGAAAGGGTAACTCTAAATGGCAGTTTGGTCTACCTTAAGACAGGTAATGTGACTTGCGTTCTGGGTGCCATTTTCTGTCCACTCACTGTAGAAGGAACCATGATTAGACTGTGTGCTTAATGTTTACATGGTAAAATTTAGGTTTTGTGAATCATACTAAAGGAATTTAAGTTAGTCCTCTTAACTCTCAATCATTTGAATGTCTTTCCAACACATTTTGTGTGTTAGCATAGAATAACAATTAACTTGGAAGTGAAGAAAACAAGATTTCATTTAACAGTGTCTAATATTTTCTCACGCACAATGTATTTCCCATAAAGAAACTTTTCTTGTGACATTTCCTATATGCTTAACCAGGTCTTTAAATCTTTCATTTATGGTTTATATCCAATTACTTTTTTGTAACTTACTTTATTATTAAAGAGGTGAATATTCACATTTGTTTTTAAATTGTAATGTAAAAGAGTTTGTGAGTCTAACCAAATGGAGCATATTTAAATAATACATTACCATATTTTCTCAAGGAATATTCTATCAGGTTTTGTCCTCCACATAAAATAAAAATTGTATTAGAAGTCTTATATACATAGTTATTTTTATTGCCAGAAACAACTCTGCTTTTATGCTTCTACATATTTTTCTTGGTTTTCTTTGGCTTTATTAGTCTTGATTTAGTAATGAAATTATGCACGTTAACCACTCTTATAATCTAGCAATACTAGAAAGTACATCAGGAGCAGATGGAAATGCATATTATTTTATATACAGCATATTGCCTGAAATTCTTGTGATTATTGAAACATAATGTAGATAATGCAGTACACTTTATCTCAGCATCTGGCAGGTCTACAAAATATACTGTAAAGGACCTGTATTAGATCACAAAACAAAACCTCTGACCAAACCTCTGTCAAAATAATTACACAGATATTTGTGTCACTGATGTTTTTCATAACTATGGATATCCTAGGACCATTTAGGTTTTCTTTAAACCTCCTTCTCTTTTGCCTTTTAATGACACTCCTGTAAATATTAACTCCACTTTTAAACATACAAGGGGTCTTTGTCCTGGAGTCAATTTTACCATACTTTTAAAAACATAAACATACAAATAGCAGAGATGGCAAAGCAAGGTGTGAGAAGCAAGACATGAATTCATAGCAAGAGGCAATACATGATCTTAAATCGATGGGCATTTTATTGAAAACAGGCTTTTGGGGGGTTTAGAAACGGAAGTAACATCGTTCAATGTAAGCCTCATCTGCTTTAGTAGTGTAAGTTCCTCTCTGAAGTTTATAGGACTAGACTCTTCCCATTCCAACACGGACAAATGAGATGTGCTGGCTTTCTTTTTTAACACTGAGAAAGTTTAAACAACTAGCTTAGCTTGGATGCTGCCTTTTTACAGGGCTAAAATTTGGATGAGGTGAATTCTGCTTTGATGATCACATAGAAATAAACTTAAGTGGATGGAAACCATTGCTTTTTCACATGTTGCCGCCAAAATAGCAGCATAATATGGCTGATGCAGAAAGCCCAAATCTGACCCAAATACTGGTTTTAGCCACAAAACAGAAGAGAAATTAATTGCATTTTCATACAATGTCTGAAGTTGTGTGAAAGTCTGCCTAGGGTTATCTGCAAAACTTAGTATAAAGGTAAAGTGAGTAATTTTGCAGAAAATCACTGTGACTCACTGCACAAGTTGTCTGGAGAAACCTTGGTATCAAAATACAAACAGGTACAATGTACATATGTATACATACATATAACCTGCAACTACTTCTCACCAATACAGAACTCTAAAAAGTGCTTGTCTTAGAAGTGTTCTTGTGTACAAAACTAAATCCATTTTCGTACTTTATTTTATCTTATAAAATTACAGTTTCAGTAAATTAGAAATACTTTTCAAGCAACTCTGAGGGATACATTTTTAATTTTCTGGGCAATTCATGATTAGACATGGAGTGAAATCATAGTTTAGTGTTTATAATTTATGCAAGGAAATACCTGCTTTTGTATTTCTGTGCACCAGCCTCCTCCACCTTTTTAAGAATTGATAGTTCATACCTGCCATCTTGTTATTGTATTGTCAAGAAGGTTTTAATTTCATATACTTCCAGTGTTATGCTATGTAATTTTTATATAATTATTATAGTAAAAAAATTACTGATGTTAATAATAACTTTACAATAATAAGAACAATTATCACCGGTTAGAGGTGATTGGCATCTTTAGTATATGTTACCTCAAAAACTCTATGGGAAAGACTTCCTTCTTGGAGACAGAAGTTTCTCCACTTCTGTTTTTTATATATATCTTTCGCAAATCAAGTAATACTAATTGAAATCATGAGTGAGTGCTTCATGACTTCATTTATGGTAATCAACTAATTTGTTTGAAGACTAGAACAGATCAGATAACCTGTGGGTATGTCTTGAAAGAACTGTCTTATTTAATTTTAATAGGTCATAAAGCTTGCTTTTGAAGAGTTTGAACTGGAAAGAGGCTATGATACTCTCACTGTTGGAGATGCTGGGAAAGTTGGTGATACCAGAACAGTGTTGTATGTGTAAGTACAGAATTTCAAAAATTTTCCTCGGAAATTTGTTGTCATATGTTGTTTTTTCTGGATCATGAGATATCTATTTAACTTTGTAATTTTAATGTATGTAATTTGTTTATATAATGTAAGCTTAAAATTCAATTACTGTCAGAGAAAATTGTTCCTTACAAAATTCACTCCAGATCTTTGGTAGCATCCTTATAAGCTTTAATATCAGAGACTAAAAACTGCAGAGAACAGAGATTTTTTTAAAAGCAAACCTTCTTTTAAAAAACAAGTACTATCTGTATAACTCTAATTGTATTCACAAGTAATTAAAGAAATAAAAAAAAGATTTGGATTTCAGCAAACAGAAAATACAACTTGTATAAAATAAATAACCCATTGATTAATTTCAGAATTTTTATACTTAAAATTGGATTTGTGAACGAAATTTTCATGAAAGCATATAGGCCACTCTTCAGTAAAGTTAAACATGCTTCATGGATTAATATAATACAATATAATATATATAATATAATATAGTATCTGTAGAAAGTGTAGGAACTTAAAAAAAATTGAAGGAAAATTCCAAACTAGATAGCTAATCTTAAGATACAGGTCTAAAATACTGTCTGGGCTAATGGAAAGAATAGAATCCTGTACAGATTGATTAATCTCATCTAACCACCTCAGTTTGGTTGCATATGCTCATTTTCCTTCCTTCATAATGGGAGCTTGTGGTCACAAGAAATTTTGGTTGTAGCTTTTAGAGGGTTAAGTTAGCATATGAATCCTGATCACTAAACACAAAACAAAATTACAGGGTTAAGTTCACAGTGACTAAATAAAAGAAACTAGCAGCATTTATTTCATAATAACGTTACTTGACATTGCATAGAAATCTACTGGATAAAGATAATATTGAACACATTTGATAGAAAGAATCCATCATCATTTTATATTTTGAGGTTTTTTTTATCCCTATAAATTATTGAAATGTTTATTTGACATAATTATAACAAATAAGTGCACTTAATACCCACACAATTTATTTTAAATTAATTAGAATATTTTTGGAGGGACAACTCTGAGGACAGTAACTTCATTATGTGTATTTGTTTATGAATTTATAATATTTATTAATGGCTACTTTCTGAACTATGATATCAAAGTACATAAATAAACCTAATTTTTAATTTGTCTTAAAAGCTAACACTGGAAAATTATTGGATTATTTGCGCGATGCATGTGTTTCTTGTGTTGCAATACCAAGTAGCTGCTACTGAGTAAATTAAATTCCATGTTCTGAGTAACTGAGAAAGAAAATAAGAACAAAATCCTGTGTTAAGAGCTTAGACTTCAAGCTAACAAGAAAAGAATTGAGTTGGGAGTGAGAATTTCAACACCCATGTTTATTTTTTCGTGTATTTTGCGGACCAATTAAATATTGCAACAGTCTTTCTGGGGATGTTAATTTAACTGCTTGTGACAGACAAAAGGATTTGCACTTTTTCTTTTTTTGTATTGGGATACATTTTGGCTTACAGGGATCCCAAAGCTCCTTCAGAGTCAAGTTTTTGAACTTAGTAAATTTGGTACCCCATGTTGTTCATTCTGTTTGTTACACTTTGAGTATTTCACATATCAAAGTTTGCCTTTTTAAGATTACTTATTGAGCAATCGTCAAATCTGGCTTTTTTTACCTTTCTATTTGAAGGCATTTAGCCTGTGCCCACATACTCCACATTTCTTTTCCATGACTGCCTAAAATAAATAAATAAATAAATAAATAAATAGTCTTAGCTCATATTAATTGCTATTTTTGGTATCTTAGGAAGGCAGGCCCCCATAATCACATCACCTCGTATAACTATTCATCACTTTACTAATGTTTTGAAGATCACTGTAGCAGACATTCACTTCAGAATCTATCATTGACATTTCTGGCACTAGTACAATGTTCTCACTAGAGACATGCAGTACTTCTAGCCCTTCCTTCAGTATGATTTTTGACTAAAATAGAGACTATTTTATACTTATTACTCTACAGCCTATCACTTAGAATTACAGTAGAGTGTTGGTCCTTCCAACTTCACTGTAAATTGTATCTTTGATGAAAATGAGGTCTATGCAATTAAATTTATCTGCCTTTTGGGTTGCAATACTTTGTACATTAGCATTACCCTGAAAATCATTTGAGAAAGTAAGTGATTAATAGCTTCTTATGTACAGTGGAAATACAGGAAGGCCCAAGTATGAAACTACAGCGTCACAATAATTAGTAATTAATCTGAATTTCTGTGATGACACTGTTTTTGCAGTTATTAAACACTGGATTGTATCATGCATTATGAAATACATTATAGTTAAACTGCATCACAGATACGCTCCATTTCACTTGCTTTGGAGACAGGTCTTCTGTGGATGTAAAGTAAATTTCCTCATAAAACACTAGGTCCACTTGTAGGCTACATTATCATGAGAAAGCTCATAACTAAATGTCAAAGTGATTTTCTTACAAAAATTTTCTATTAGTTGGTTTTAATAACTTCTGTTGTATTTAACGAGGTTTGAGCAGCACCTTGCAGGTTTTTATTCTTCTCAGGGGAATGAAGAAGCTTATAGCAAAGACTTTTCTGGCTATATTTAATTTATAATTTCTCGGCATCTCTTAAAAAATAATATAGCTTTTCTTATGCTGAACAAGTTTCTGTTGGCAGCTTAAATGCCAACATTTCTGCAGAAATTCTACAAAATATCACTGTAGAAACTCATGCATTTGATTCTAAAACTGCATAGCTTTTACAATTTAGTTTGAACTAAATACACAAAAATAAATAGATTTCTAAATCCAAACCTAATTTCTAAGTGATTTGAACCTTTCCCCTCCATATAAAACTGGCATGTCTGAGCACACAAGCCTCAGCCTCATGCAAAAATTTCTGGCTCTCAGGCACTAGAGCCCTCAAGGTAGTAGCTCCTTCTGGGTGCGTTATTGTAAACTTAGTACTCAAACTTTACAAATAACTCAGTTATACCAGGGTGTTTATAAGCCAGCCATCCAATGAACATTGGAAAGTGGCTAATGGCAGGTCAGTAAACAGGGGACCATTAAATACTTGATGGGAAGAAGATTGAGGAAGTTGACAAGGATCACGATATATAGATGATCAGTCCTAGCACAAGCTTTCTGTAGTGTCCAAACTCTTAACCATTAGCAATTATCTGTGTAACCTCAAAGTTGTAGCACTACAGCTAGAGCGGAATAGGAAGGGATACTGAAGTTTAAAAACAAGAAAAAAATAGACTATCAAGCTCAAATTTAAATTTTGGGAGAAATTGGAAAAATAATTAGAAAAAGTCTTTTAAGTTCATGTAAAATAGCACTGAGATGGTACAAAAAAATATACTTTGATGAAGAGCTGTTTATTTCAATGTAATGCATTTCTTTGACAGTGTTGTTGGCATTTTGAGCAGGGATATCTTGGTTTTCAGTTTATTAAAGCAGTCTAATTTTAGTATTTATAGTAAACTTCTTAGAAAATCTTATCATCAACAGCTTTAATTAAAGGGAGATATGCCCATCAATTTTATTATTTTTAACAATTGCTTCATCTGTAAGCCTTACTTGTTGAAAATTTAGCAATATTATTTTATGCGATATGTACGCTGAGATGGTTAGCTCTGGAAATACAGCAATACAACTTATGGGAAATTAATCTAAATATGTTCAAGCTATGAAGTTTTGACTACAGTTATTTCTCATATTTAAAAGAATTTCACTAGAAACTAGTGACTGCTCTTACAAAATAATTCACTAGTGATAATAGTGTGAAGTGAAGATTATCAGTCAGAACGTTTCTTGCAATGCCGTTTTCTGTTCTTAAATTCTTGTAAATTAAACACACTGCTTTAGAAAGACTGCTTTGCCTTCAAATGCTATGATTTATATTTTTCTTGCAGCAGTTACATTAAAACTTAATTTCCTTTTTTGAAATTATTCCCTTAAAACATGAATCTTTTAACTTTTTTTGTATAGAAAACTTGTAATTTTTTTTTCCCCCGATACAAAGAGGAAATTGCAAAATAGTGGTTCAAATGCAGCTGCTTATGTCAGCTATTTCAGTACACAGACAACCGTCCGTGACAGAGAAGTGCTTTTTTAGTAAACCCGTATCCTTTTCTCTTATTCACACACAGTTTGGAAATTTACTGGGGGCTTGGAAAACAACCTACTCTTCCATAACTGGTAAAAAAAAAAACAGGCCGCCTTTTTATATATCATCTCAAACATTCTTGAATCTGACTTCCTAGTAATTTATTTTACTATGCATTACTTAAAAAATTCTTCCTTCTGACTTTTTTAGAAGTTGTAAAATCTGGGAGAGAAGGTCGGTTTTGTTTTTTTGTTTGTTTGCTTTTTAATAGTGTTGGAATCTTTCTCCCTTGATTTGCTAAGTACTCGACATTACTAGTATCAAAAGAAAAATACAAATCCAAGTAAAATTAGGGATTTTTAGTGACACTTACTGCTTGTCACAGCTTTAACAGTCAAACCTTCAGAGCTTTAGTTTGTGATATGGTTGCAGTTAAGCACACAAATAGCATAGTGACTTGTCATCTCTGAAGGACAGAACAATACTGTAAAACTCTTTCTTTAAAAGGAGAAGAAAACCTGGACAAACAATGAAAAAAGATTTACCTGAAAGAAGGAACATATGTTCACATGTTGAAAACTCAAGAAGTGTTTATGATTGAATTTTAAAGGAAATATTTATTTTATACAATAGTTTAATGTCACAAAGGAAGACTTACTGACTTGAATGCTGTGTTTTGTTCAGCTTACTTTATTGGTCTAATGCCTCCAAAACACATTTATTTAAAATATTCTGCACAATCAAATAAAAAGAAAAAAAAAAAAAAGAAAATACAGAAAGGAATCAAAACTTTTTTCACATTTATGTGGAATATCCTTAATTTAAATGATTACTTTATTTTCAAATTAAACATTATTAATAGTTAACATTGTAGGAAGTAGATAGTGTTGCAGAGGTCTTTGAATACATATACCTAGATGAAAAGCTCACACTGGAATTTTTCTTTTATGAAGTTGTAAGAGAGAAAAAAAAAGCATAATGAAAATATAGGTGTTAATATATTATATTTTACAAATTGATTTCAGGCCCCTGAAAATTAGATCTCAACCCTAAAATTCAAACTTGACCCTTTTTCATATACAAGTCAGGCTTCTCATTCTCAACTCATCACAATTAACAGAAGATTTTTTTTTCTTGTTTATTTGTGTAAAACAGCAATAAAATATTTTAGGAAATTAACATACATCTCTTTAATCCCATACTTTCCATATTTTTTAATAGTAATGTATTTAATTCATACAGTCCCTCACATCTCTAATAGCTTAATTGCTTAATGAAAGTGTTAAGTAGGAACAGCTTTATTAAAAGTGTTTAATCGTTGTTTACTTGAATGCAGTCATTCAAAATGTATTTTTTTCTAAGACCTCACATTGTTCTTATCCATAAAGAATAGTTAATTTTATCAAAAACCAGCTGATCAGAACACTAGGGTAATTTATTGTCAATAGGTCTAAATATTATATTAGTAGTTTAAAAGGCTGGGGTTTTTACTAGTAGTAGGAGTAGGAGTAGTAATTTATGCCTCTGCAAATGATTGCAATTTATCCTACATACAGACTCACTGGATCTAGTGTTCCTGATCTTATTGTGAGCATGAGCAACCAGATGTGGCTTCATTTACAATCTGATGACAGCATTGGCTCACCAGGATTCAAAGCCGTTTATCAAGGTACGAACTAAATTATCTGTTTTAAACTAATGTTGTAACTTCGTTCATTACACCCCAATGAATTCATTTCAAATAGGCCTTCAGTCCTTTCACAAATTTAGAGTTTTGATACTGTCTCTATTGTTAATTAATCGTTAATGGAGATATGGATTTGCAAATACCCACAAAGTAACTAAGAAGAATCTGAAGTAAAAATGGAAGTTATTGTTGTAATGCATTCTGCTTGAAGGTCAATACAAACTACAGATTTCTATCATATTTGAAAAAAAATTAGATGTCACATTCTGTTAACCTGTGTAACTCCTTATGTTGGATATTATTTGAAAATTACAGTTAGTTTTCTCAGACTTTATTGGGGTAGTTACAAAACTTGCTTTCAAGCCTCACCAAGAATCCTGACAGACCTAAGTCAAAATTAGTATGTGACAAAAACAACAGAAGAGATATACTGTATATGATTGTGGAAATTAAGAAATTTAACCCCCCAAAAGTGATCCAAATTACCCTAGCCTTATTTGTGTTGCTACTGTCTCAAAGAGATGAGAACCTTGGCAACATAAGCATCTTTAATTTTTCTTGACTGTGAGCTACAGTGTGATACTTTCTGAAGTTGATTCATTCTAGTAAAAAATACCTGATATCTGTTAGTATGTATGCATGTATTGATAATTTTCTGTTTTAGTAGGTTGCATAGACCTGTGGCTAGAAAGAGCTCTTGCTTATTAACATATGGTGTCACTTTTGGTTAGTTTCCATGTTAATTAGTTCACCTTAAGGATAAGGACAAAACCAGTTAACACTATTTTAAATAGTTTCTTATGGGCACATATAGTGAAAATGATTTGACAGTAATTTTGTCAAAATTACTTTCATACAGAAGATGCTGCAAAACATTGAGAGACTGTTCAGTAACTGAAAGTAACTTAATTAGAAGAGTGGGAGTTCTCCCTAAACATTTTGCATAAACCGAAGCACCCTATCTAAGTGTCTCATTTCTCCTTAGTTAACTTACTGTTTCAACACAAAAACAGGCAAAATAAAGAGTGAAAAGTTATGTAGATGTTAGCTTCAAGTTTAGTAAACTGTACATTTATTTCACTAAGGACCTTAAGACAGGCTTGCCTGTGCAAGTTTTTGTAAGTGGTGTCTGTGGCTGATGGCATATTGTGAACTGTAATGATGAAAGGAACAAGAAGGGAAAATGTTGGTTCTCCACACCAGTATCCTTCTACGGGTGGTCTCTCCATTGAAGCAGGTGGTGATGATGACGATGATTAGGATTATGTTTTCACCGTGGTTTTTCCCTAGTACTATATACTTTTCTTTGTGATTCACTTAAACTCAACATTGTTTATTCCCACTCGCAGTACTGATTGGAGTATGCTGATTAGGTCAAGTGTTGTACATTCATAGGTTGTTAAGTTTCTGTGTGTATATATTGTTGGATAATATTTATTGAGTATTTAAATTACTATAATCTACTCTTTTATGCACCTTGTTTTGGTTTTCTTTAATGTGAACTGAAACCTACAAAACAAGAAGTAAGGAGAGGGGGAGAAAAAGGGGCAATTCTCATGATGGTGGCAATCACTTCCCATGAGAATCCTTCATAGCAACACTGCTGGGATTTGCAGGTCCACGGCCATGAGAATAACAATATGAGAACAACAAGGAAAAAGTACTGTCACAGAGGCTCTTGAAACACTATCGCAATTGCTTAAGTGAGACATTACAGAGCTGTGAGCAAAAAAGCAGATGCAGGTCCATAGCATTACCATGGCTAAGATATTAAGGTATCTTAAGACATTGTGCAACACATTCAGCCTGTGCAGTTAGACAGCCCAAGTATGTTGTGTGCCTGAGGGCAATGACATATTCTTTATTTAAATTAATCCTACCCCTTCTCGTCCTTTCTTTCATGGTTTCATCTTTTTTACTTGTGTCATTTTTAGGGACCATGTTTATTAAGACAATATATTTTCTTCATAGAATCCATTTGTGAATTACATAAAGTGGAAATAGTGAGTATACAGTGGAAAGAGAGTATTGGCACAAGTTATGTATCTGACACTTGGCATTTTTTCCTCAATCCAAAATTATGAACTTTATCTCATCATACCTCTATGAAAAAGTTCAAAATTTAAATCTGTCTGCTGAGTTATTTTTCATCTGTCATTTCTCTTTCTGGTATTTCTAATCTAAAGGCATCTGTTTTCATTTCTGTATTTTTCTAACTTATTGAGGATATCTTATTTAATTTATGGAGTTCAACCTGTTACTACTGGGGACTTTCTGAAAACACCTGAAATATACACTGTGAATTTTGCAGTAGTAGTGGCATCTCTGTTATGAAGTATATGGTTATCATTTGATGGTTGGATTCTGGCTTTCAGTCTTGTTTTGCAACCAATTGTGAGTCATTGTGTGTTTTGTAGCTTTGGACATTAATTTCAGAATTGTAAAATGTGAAATGTTTGCAATCTCAGAAGTGTAGTAAATGTCTTAATATGAAGGTGAATTATAACTTTTTTTCTGGTTTACGTCAATGGTTTCATCTTTTACTGTTGACAAAACTTTTATCCATCTGCGCTCTCAACATATCTCTTGCTTTAGGCCAAGTGTAAAATCTTAAACCCCTTATCCTGCCACAAGATACCTCAATGATTTTGCTTCCCCTTTATTTAACAGTCAAAGAAACTGTCCAAGAATAGAATCTCATTCTAATGATGAGAAAGTTAATGGATTACAACATGTGACCTCAAATACACTGTCTTTGTGATTGCAGTTAGCTAAAAAGAAAGCAAACTGCAGGCTTTGATGGCTTATACATGGTCTATAGAGACAAAGTAAAGGGCATCCTTATTTGAATCTTTTTAACTCAAAAGCCTGAGTTTTGCTCAGGATTAGAACATGACTCTCCACCCTCTTGGGCAATATTTTACAATTGACCCACTGAATCTTGACTTTGTATCTATTACAGTAAAATCCATTTTTATATTAATATTTACAAGGTGTCATAGACTGATTGCACTTTATGGAAAATTGTTACTTTAGCTGAGCTTTACCTCACTTCAATTATGAAATAGAGAAGCATTCTGATGATGCAATTCACCTGTCCTACATTAGTATGTCCACCTAAAAGTGGCATGAAATGATGCCTGCAAATTAACCGATACACATCACAGATTTTGTATATGAGTGCTAAATTTAATCCTGTTTACAGTTTGCCTAAGGGATTAAGGGAGGAGCAATTCTTTCCATATTCTAATGCCTCCTCTTTGGCTCACCTTCAGAAACACCTTAATGTCAGAAATATGTAGCGCTATCTATATTCTTATTACTCAAATTTCTTGATTTTTGAATACAGTGGGTATTTACTTTAAGAAAAGTTCTGTAATCTGCCTAATTAGCCAGGCTTCTTGGACTGTGCAATGCAGCTTTCCAGTAGTTGGATCCACAAGAAAGATTTCAGACATAGATCCTCAATAGTTACTAGTAATAGTTTTGAATACAGAGGAATAGCACTGTACCTGTATGGAAGGTGAGCTAGGGAAACACAGATGGTAAAACTAATGTTGAGATTAGCTTGTTAACTTGACAGAGCTGATAAATAGCTACTGTGTTAGAAAATACAATAGTTGCCTCGATATTTCTTCTATAAGTCATCATCAGTTGTCATGTATTATAAATACAAGAATAATTTAAACATTATCTATATGGAAGTACATTACAATGAAGTAAAATGCAAGATGCTACCTGAATTGTGATGTTAAACTTTCTAAACCATATTAGAACCACATTATTATTGCTAAAACAGAAAGCTATTAACCCATATTAAAAAAATTTAAATGCTGAAGAATAATCTGCACTTAAGGTTAGTTTTCTTAAAAAGCTATTCTATAGACTGTATCTGAAAGTCCTTCATTCTCTTTTATAGATCCCCAGACATCTCAACAGAATGGTTCAATAAATTTCTGAAAGAATTCTCTGAAAGCATCTACAGTTTCTGAAAAGGCCAGAAATTTAAATTGTTCTGTCCTTGAAGACAGACATATATTGTAATATCACGCCTAAGTATATCAAAGGATCTATACTGAAATCCTCTTTCCATTATAATCTATGACAGTTTTCCTTACTGAACCCAGCATAACCAGGTGTCACTCCATACATCTTCATTAAGTAAAGAGAAGGAAAACAAAATATGCTATTATACATAGATAAAGTCGCTAAAATGGATGTTGTCTTCTGCCGTAGACATAGAGAAATTAGTGACACTTTGTATTTCACAGCTGAGATCTCATGATAAAAAACTCTTAAAATTTCTCAGTGAATACTTGTGTATGTAGCTACTTGCATAGCGAGGGCTGTGTTAAAGCTAAATTTTCAAGTTTTGTTACAGAACCGAAGAGAGAACAAAATTTATTCAGAGTAAAATATAAGAGATTTAGGCTGTTGTTAAGACAGTTTTCAGAATTTCGGTAATAAACATGTTTAGAAAGTAAAGGAATTAAAAGACCAGACTCTAAGTTCTAGTTATGTCTCCAATATAATTTTTTTTCTTTTACTTGGGTATTTAGTAAGGTTATGAAACACTTCAGTGCATTTCTCCATACAAAGGACATATCTGAAATCCTCATATGCCACCTCCTGGAAGGATAACATAAACTTACTGAATGGAAATCTTGTTGAAGGTTGTTGCCAGTCTCCCTTGTTGAAGTTGCTTCAGTCTGAATAAGTTTTAAATATGCATTAGAACAGGGCCTGGTATCTTCTAAGCACTCTGATTAAATTGGTTTAGGTTGACCAAAAGTACTTATTTTAAATGAGTAAACTATTTAATGAAAGAAATTTTTTTGAACTCTAACTTAAATTCCAGGCCTACCATGCAATGACTCTAAAACCTGACTGTTTTTTTTCGTTTGTTTGTTTTTTAATATTACTGTATATATAAGAACAACATGACACATACACTTAAATAGATATATTGTGTATAAAGTGTA